ATAAATAACAAGAATACATGTGGATGGATCCTATAATGCTTTCCCAATTTATTTATTCTTGGAAATATTGATTGGTCCACACCAGAGACAGCTTTCTTTTGAGCCTCGTCTCAAATCGGTGTTAGACCAGAGGACGCCAAAAGGCGTACAGCACAAAGACAAGCATTGATTGTAGACCAATCAGTTTCAAAGACAATGCATATATTATCAGTATTTTTTTTTGCATTCTGACCACAAGTATTGTGGTTAATACAGACATGATTCCTTGTAAAATGTTTCAGTTTGGTGTTTTAACATCTTAACACCTGTTTTGTTGCCAGAAAAAATGGGAAAACCTATTCTCAGCACCCATGGATATTTCAGATATTGAGGAATCAACTTTGGTAAAAAAAAAGTACGTGACACTAAACAGGACATCCATTTGATATCCTAGTGTCACGCAAAAAAGCACAATACATTTCTGTAGTATGCCCTAACATGTCAATCAACTCCAATATTTGAGAGGCATTAGTGTCACTTGTCTTTGCCTCACTCTGCTATATATCAAAGTCAAAAGTTTGTGTATCCTAGCTCAATAGAGCAGTGGGTAATGGTCATCTCCATTTATGTCAGTGGTGGACATTTCCTTTTATGGCTCCCATCTCTTTATAGGACATCCACTGTAGAATTTTCACAAAGTGGTGCTCGTAATATTCAGTAACAATGCTTATGAAGGTAAAATAACAAGCCAAGCACTCTAACCACTGTGCTACCCTCTGGGAAGCTGTTATTGGCCCGAAAAACACTGCAGCAGAATGCTGTGTCGGCAGTAATTAAACCCACACATACTTGGTCAAAAGCCAGGATAGCAGCTCATAATCTTGACAGTCGCCTTCCATTCTCACCATGGGCAATGTGGCTTAATAAAGCTTGTTACCAGTAAGCCATCAAACACAATGTACAATGCAGGCATGCATCATTAAGAGTTGTATTACGCTGTCATTTATAAATAAGAAAATACACTGAACTGACTTACGTGTGTGTAATGGAGTGAGCCAGCAATTTTCCTATTTGGTAATGGAGCTGAAATATTCTTTCCACCAAGCAAATATGTCTAGCATCCACTATTATTGATTTGAAGCTATGTGACTTTACCGAAAGAACCAAAGAGTATCCACTATTATTTAATGGTGCGTTTAAGGTGAATGCTGTAATTTGTAATATTTTTTGTTGTTGACACCCACTGGGCATTATATGCTTGAACAATGTGTCCAGTAATTTTTTTACACAAAATAACACTTGGAGTTGATAGGGCCCCATAGGCCCGATACATAATTAATGTTCTCTAAACAGTTTTTACTTTGGGTATACATTGTATATCTCCAGTGTATCAACACTGAACACCAGGACTGAAACTAATGTGTAGGTGTATTATTTATGGTCTGGCTTGGCAGATGAATCGGATGCTTGACTCACCAGTGGAAGGTTACAAGTTAAAATGCTGGCCAGGGGAAATCTCAGCCAAACATCCCTCCAGGGGTTTTAAAGATGATTACCACTTTATGGGAAATCACAAGTGATTGACCATTGAAAAGACTGGTGCTGCACAGCGAATGAGAAATGTCTGCCAGTGATTGATGTTTATATTCAGAGGAGATGAACTCCATCCAATGCCCGTTTGAACAGGGAGACATTTCAACTTTGATAAATACGTTTCCTCAGTTATGTACTGGTTGCACCATCTTTCGCAATACAAATACACTCACAGTAACACACAGGCGGGCTATTAAAAAACGACAGCCATTAAAATTAATCGGGATGACTATCAAGCAATAAACTCACAGCAGTTTTTAATCCTGTGGTAACAATATTCAGCAATGGCTATCAGTGGAAAAGAACATCAAAGCACTTAATTATGAAGCTAAATAATTCGTTTCTCTGAAATGCATGAGTATGAATATATCCAATTATACATTCAAATAATTTCTGTCAACAAATCTACATATTGATAATACAGTATGATCGTCATCAAAGCTTTATGTATGTGTAATGACTCTCGGACACTTCTTGTCTTTCTTGTTTATTTATTAGGGTGCAGATAACGTACTCTCATATCCTACAGTACTTAGCTATGACTAGCATACAGTACGGAGCTAGAATAACAACAGATACTTGGGCTAGGATAACTACAGATGCTTTGGCTAGGACAGCACCCAAGCAACTACCGCATGGAGACAGCGACGACACGGAGACAGAGACGGCCCGAAAACGACGGCGGCGTTGAACCAGTCCATCCCAAATCTAGTGCAGCCCCGAGCTCTCTCAGACTCCGCCTTTTATTCCCCCCTGGTGTGGCCTCGCCCCGCCCCCGGCCACGCCCTCATGGTTCCCTCCTGTAATTATCCCTCGTGACCACCTGGCCACGCACTGTCCCTATCCCTTCATTATCTCCACGCACGCACCGTCTCTCTCTTTCCGCACTGTCCCTACATATGTAATGGAAACAATGCGAGAACATTTAGTATGCCATGAGAGAATATATTTTTTATATAGGTGACTCACATGACGTCGGAGCGGGTCAGTGACTCACGTAAAGGAGCGTTGAGGGCCTGGATGATTTGTGGGAAGCAAAGTGTTATAAATGAGCCAGAGGCGTACCTCGGTCTGAATTATGCTGAGCTGTGTCGAGTTGTGTCCCCATGAATCGTTAGTATGTGTGGCCTCATCCTCTCCCATTCAATTTTTCCCACCTCTCGCTGCACACTCCTACCACCCCTGGCTCTCTAGCACTATGGCCGAGTGAGTGACCAAGGGAGAACACAGCTTCATTATCACAGTGAGCCTACGCATCATACGGAGCACATAAAACAACATGTACATCACACCCAGAACCAATACTATTTTGGTTTCGTGGCATTTCTCCATAGCTGCACCAGCCATTTGAAACTCTCTCCCACTGTTACGGCTCTCATCTGGGTCACGTTGACATACAAGGGACTTTGAGCTCTGGTTTCACGCCTCTGATTTCTCGATGAAACATTGCGTCTGATTTGAGAAATATGCGTGTACGTATTATAAATTGTTTATTGTTATTACACTATGTAACACAATTTTTGTTCCTGGGTAGTAAGTGTTATTTCCTAATTGCTTATGCTAAAAGGTATAGAAAATATCTATTATTCCCCACAAACTTTGCTTTTGTGACCAGGACAGTGATATTTAGAAATTTACCTACTTTCAATGATAAAACAGGTGAATTTGTGGCTTTTCGTTCACATAAAGTCAGAAAAAAAACAAAATATGCATCAAAATTCAGATGTATTTATACTAAAGTAATACAAATTTTACTACAAAAGATTTGGAAGTGAGTGTTTCTCGAGATTTATGATTATACTGTAAATCACGTTCATGAATCAGCCCCCAAATGCAGTCTCCCATCGTGTTCTCGTTATACTGTCCTTGGTAGCAGCGTTCAAAGTCCAGTATATCCTGGTGGAAGCACTCGCATTGCTTCTCCGAGTACGTTCCCATGTTCTCCTTGAATTTATCAATATTTCATCAAGGATATGGACTTTGAGGGACATCCTACAGCCCATTTTGCTGTAGTTCTTCACCAGTCTCAACCAGCTCTACATAGTTTTCGACCTTGTGATTGCCCAGGAAGCCACGAACCACTGCAACAAAGCTGTCCCAAGCTGCTTTCTCCTTAATAGTGAGCTTCTTGGGGAATTCATTGCACTTCAGGATCTTCTTTATTTGTGGTCCGACAAAAACTCCGGCTTTGACCTTTGCCTCAGACAGCTTAGGAAAGCTGTCTTGAATGTACTTGAAGGCTGCCGACTCCTTATCTACAGCTCTGACAAATTGTTTCATAAGGCCCAATTTGATGTGCAGTGTTGGCATCAGCACCTTCCGGGGGTCCACCAGTGGCTACCACTTGATGTTGTTCCTCCCCACAGAGAACTCGGTCCGCTGTGGCCAGTCCCGCCTGTGGCAGTGCGCCTTAGTGTCCCCGCTGTCCAAAAGGCAAAGATAGCAGGGAAACTTGGTAAAACCGCCTTGGAGACCCATCAGGAATGCCACCATTTTGAAGTTTCCGATGACCTCCCAACCGTACTCATCATACTTCAAGGCATCCAGCAAGGTATTGATGCTGTTGTAATCCTCTTTGAGGTGCACTGAATGAGCCAGGGAAAGAGACGAGTACTTGTTACCATTATGGAGCAGCATGGCTTTGAGACTCCTAGACGAGTTGTCAATGAAGAGGCGCTACTTATTCTGGTTACAGGCGATTCTGATTGCCTCGAACAGACTGGTCACATTGTTGCAGAATCAGAGCCCATCTTGACGGGTGAAAAAGCTGCAAAAAGGTCGGTGACGCTTCCTCTGATCTGCGACTTGTACACTTTCATCCAACAAGTTTGACTGTTTGAACCTAGACGTCAAAAGCTTGGAATTGGACTTGGTGAGACCAAGATCTCTGATCAAGTCGTTGAGGTCTTTTTGGTTGGAGTAGTATGAGTTTCTCTGCTCAGCTCCACCTCTGAAATTGTCATCTGGATCTACAACGTCTTCCTCGCTCTCTGACTTGCTGCTCTCTTCTAAAGACAGCTGCTCTCTCTCCGGAGGAGTGGGTACGGGGAGCTCATGGTAGTGTGACACCGGGGCGATGGATGAAGGAAGATCCGAATACGTGATAGCAGGTGGATTCTTGCCAGTCCGACGTTTGGAAGGGTCCACCATGCAGAAGTGGCAGTTGCTTGAGTGGTCAGTGGGTTCCCTCCAAATTCTTGGGCTAGCGAACCTTACGGCTCTCTTTCACCCTCTCTACCATCCTACAAAATATATTTATTTCACCCGTGACTAATGTGTAAGAGATTCTTGCAACATTTTTCATATATGATACATATTTTTCAATAACATTGAACATTGTAAAACATTAAAAAAATATTAAAACTTAAAAAATATATATTTTAACAAATTTCTTCCATAAAATTCCAAGCAACAATTGTCCATCTTACCTTCCTGAGTTTTTTTGCATTGATACGCAGGTAAAATGAGGTGCCCAGGGTTTGTCTTGATCCCCGAAAGACATGCCGAAATATGCCTTGTTGGCCTCACACATTGTAGCAGATGCTTCCACAGAATACTTTCTTGCTCTTGTCTTGATAAATTGGCCACAGACATCGCAAAATGCGTCTGCCGGATGCTTGCAGCCTCATGATACCATCTCAGAAAAATGCCAATATGTATCCACTTAGGAAGCTGGAACTAAACTCCTGTATTTATACTTCTATTTATATTACTGGAAAGTTCTAGAATGTTCTAGAAGTTACTCCAAGTTTACTCAACACTGAATCAATCTGGAATGTTCTGGAAAATAGGTACATTTCTAAATATCAATGTCCTGCTCACAAAAGCAAAGATTTTGGGGAATAATGCATGCATAATATGCATAATATGCATGCATAATCAGTTTAACAGCCCTGGCCTTATAATTGTAGCATATGCCTTGACCAGGTCAATAAAGCAGAGATCTAGGTCTTGTTGGATTCACTACACCTCTGCTTTAGCAAACTCAGACACACAAATCCACATGTAATGAACAAATGGAGATATCTTGACTTAAAGCTTTCGTGACTGCAGGAATTCCTATTCATAGATTCAAACCTATCTATGTGACTTTACGGAAAGACCCAAAGAAAATAGAAATGGAGATACTTAACGCAGGGCGTATGACTTCAGAAGTAACAGCTTTATCCTATTTTGCATCACGCTGTCACCACACATGTTGTTGACAAAAGAAAAATACATTTGATGACATTTCTTTGACAGCAAGATGCTGAATTACCCCTTGACACCTGCCTAGTCTGCCTGGAGGGGCATGCAACTCATCAGTAGAGGTCTGATATGTGGCAGTTCAAGGCAACTGAAATTTATCATTCTGTCAACAATTTCATTGGTGATGACAGTGTGATGGAGGTGTAACATTAACCGACAGGGAATTCCAAGTTGAAGGTGTTGATTTGAGATATAATCTTAATCATTGGGGAAATCACCATCTCCATCATGTCATAGGTAGCACAGTGAGAATTGGCACTGAAAAGGCACAGGGCGTACATTAAAGAATAACTGGATGGACGCATTGGGGAGGGAATTGCATCAAAGTGGAGAGAACATGTTTACATCTTGGCACACACCATTGTACAATCATTTTTTTTTCCAAGAAGTACATCAACAATTAGTTTCATTCACTTTAAAACATTCATTTCGTTTAAAAAATAAATGAGCATCCAGGACTAGTTTTGCTTGAGATGTTAAGCCATTTTCCTTGCAAAAATGTAAGAGGATACCAGAGAACCAAAATAAAACATACATCTATGAGGGTATAAACATAAAACAAATATGTACAGATAAGTTATATACAGTACTCGTTTCTGTTGGCTACGTACAGTGCGAAAAGAGTTCAACATACATATGTACCTCTCTTACGAATACACTAAATACATTGTTTTTATCATGATGATTACTGGATAGTCGAATGGTTGGCACATGTGCTACTAAGCCAGTTTGCAGATGGTTAACATTTTATTCCCTGAAGCTGCTCAGTAATTTGTATGAGATTGCCAATTCGTCTTATCATCTACACGGTGCACCACATTAAATTATTCACAAGACATTCCCATTGTTTTATTTATGTAATGCGAGCATAAACGGGGTGGTTGTTGGCCTCTGCGCCAATCACGCAGGCCGGAGCATTGGGGGGCGGAGCCGGGTCGACGGAGCGTGTGGGAGGAGCCACTGCTCATCTCGGCTCCAATGGGAGACGGGAGCAGTATGGGAAGGAGGAGTCAGGGTCACGTGATGGAGAGGATATAGGGAGAGAGCCGGAAGAGATCGGGAGTTGGAACGGAGCGAGAATAGGGGGGAGCCACGCTGGGCGGAACGGGAGCAGCGGCGCCATCTGCCACGTGGTGTGCGGCGACGGGGCTAGAGGGGTGTGAGGACTAGCCGAGTGTGCGGGGCACACGTAGCTAGTAAGTGACTAGCAGAGTGTGCGGGGCACACGAAGCGAGCGGTGTGGCTGGCACGTGTGCGGGGCACACGTAGAGAGAGAGCAGAGCGGCCACCAGCGAGTGCGGCCCACACGGAGCGTGCACGGAGGGGTGCGGTACGAAGAACCTAAATAGACGACACAACGGAGACCAAGGAAGCCTGACCGAGTCGTTTATTACATTTATATCAGTGTTTCACAATGATACAAACTCGTAATACGTGGTATGGGAAACCCATCATGTTGTGAATTTGCAAAAACAGCGCAAATAAGTGCTTTAAAAAAGCAAGTGTAAAAATCTAACATTTTCACGTGGTTAACTCCATGACACCCTTCCTCGGCATGACAATTGCAGTAATCTTGTACGAGCCAAAGACCACGAATAAATAAATCACTCAATAAACACACGTCAACACTGCATTTACTAATGATATGTAATTCACTTTTGAAAACTGTACACTTAACTGTATTTGTATCAATGTAAACTTTGATAAGGATCAGGAGAAGGCAGTAAGCCTATAAAAAAAACCACGAGCTTTCATAGGGGCAGACTAAGAAAGTTGTTATTGGTTATGACATTTTCATCGAGGCAATATTTGAAATCACATTTTAATTTGTCAAAAACCTTTACGTGTCTAACCTGGCTGTTTTTTTTACGTCAATGTTATAATAATATTTAAACATGATCAGGATATGCCTAAAATGTATACTTGCTCACTGTGAGCATATTTGCAATTAAGGCATGGTGTTGAGAGTTTAAAATGAAGTGATGTTGTTATTCTTGCCAGAGCTGTCACCACTGTTTTACAGGGTGAGAAAATCCACCTGCTAAGCGATAATTACACAGTTTGCCAGACCTGCACAGGTTTAACGACCTGGCCACTCCTATATAACTCTGCATAACAGGTCTGCATTTTAAACCGGGATGCCGTTGTAACCCGTGACTCCGTCCCTCCCTGTACGCAGCATTAAGTGAGTGAATGTCATTGCCACTGCTCAAAGGTGACACAAATTGACACCTTCAAACCAGTGGGAATGCTGCTTCACTACTCAGTGTAAGAGTGGCTCAATATATTTGGTTTGTAGAAAGAATTATTGAAAGTCTCTGTGGTCGATCACATTGAATAAAAGGACGGGTCTAACGCCCAATCAACATTGCACGTTGGTAAACAAGCCAATCTTAATGACTTAAAGCTGAAACTGATATAGGTACAAAAATTCTAGAAAACCACAACCAATGCTTTGATTGAACAAAACTCTCTTTGTTAGAAAAGACAACCCAAAAACAAGTGTACATCCTTGTGATGGATAAATTCCCCACTGAGCCATTTTCTCTCATGTGGAAGGTGACATTTACTTTCAAAGTTTTTTCTTCTTCCTATTTTCAAATCTGGCTCCTGACTTGATTGACAATAAATGGAACATTTTTGACGGTATATATATCGCATTAAGTGATCCCATAAAACACTGCACATCACAATTTCAATATTGAGTTGTAACTAAGACTTTTTGCCTGAAAGTACAGTACATGAAAGGAGAGTCCAGTATCAGTGTCAAAATACGGTAACAGTTCGCAATTATAACGCTATGTCAATCCATTGCCAGATAACGACCTCCCCATGCCCTGTTGCTCATGAGGGTTGTTTGATCATACTTCGCGGTGCTGGTCGGTGCGGGACCAATTTAGATATTCAGGTTGTCAGGTTTATAGTGGAGTGCGTGAACCACTGCACCACCAATCACGGCTCTGGTATCACGGTTTCAAGATGATGATATCATTGTACATCAGGATTTCACACAAAAAAGTGCAAACTTTCTAAGTAGCAGTTCTTTTAGCACATTTTGGATGGCCTGACCAATGTACCTAACTATTTGTTAGTCTACAAAAGAATGGTTCACCCTTTCTTCAGCAATTTTTTTTTTACTCATTGGTTTGATGCAACAGCATTAGAGAAAGCTACGAAGAATACAATTATATTTACATCAATCCCAGGCTGGATCAGTGGCAAAGTGCTTCGCGAACGATACCATAAACCTAACTTTGATTTCTGAATACAGCTAACATAAGTGGAGAGAGACATTTGAACTGGTTCTGGTGTATCCCTTCAAACCACACTGAGCAGAGTGGTGTAGTGTGATCAAACAGAGGACCCAATTGTGAACTGTATAATGTGAGACGGTGCAGTGAGGCATTCTACCAGCAGTGGATTAGCAATGGACTGTATATTATTATATGTTGTGCGAGTGCACCAGGGGTTAGAGAGAAGTACAGTAAAACCTTGTATTGCGAGTAACTTGGTCTGCGAGTGTTTTGCAAGACGAGCAAAATTTTTTAATAAATATTAATTTGATAAACGAGCGAGGTCTTGCAATACGCGTAGTACGTATACGCTTTGTCTGCCGAGCGTCACGTGATCACAACTGATATACGAGTGCTTTGGATTACAAGCACGTTTCCGGAACGAATTATGCTCGCAATCCAAGGTTTTACTGTATCTGTGAATGTTGTTTGTGCAGGCCCTGCCTTAGGCCCTCGAGCTTTGACGTGGGTTGTGTTCAATATGAGGGAGTATGAAGTCGGTGTTGCTGAAATGAGCAATGTCGTAGTGCTCATCTCCATTGACAGTCCTTAGCTGATGGTGGAAATTCCATATTCACAAGACAAGAGCCAGTCTAAATTTAGGAGGACTATTGTTCATCTTCTTACAAAGTTGTACTCTTTATGCATATCAGAGAAATTGTATGCTGTGTCAACCTACAACCAATATTTGTACTCGTAACCTAATTGAACGCTATTACCATATTCTCTTCTAATACTCTGGGACCCTGTAATCATATTTTTTTTGTCTGACCATTTTTGCGAATTAATCTCCAACAGTGGATGTGTAAGATTTCATAATGTACTGAAGATTTAATACTTTGAATCAAGAAACCTCCATGTTCTCTTGTAGTGCATTGAGGTTACATTATAAACTAATCTGTCAATGTGCATCAGGATCAAAATATATTTCTTTCCCACCAACATAAATTGCCCCCAAAGTAAATGTTTCCAAATGTTTCTACCATAACAGCTTTAAAATAAATTGTTGCCTTCCTACAAAATGCATGACTTTAATACCCAAATCTACAACTCACACCCTCCCCTAACATCATACCTAATAT